AGCCGCAGCAGCAGCAGCAACAGCAGCAGCAGCAGCAGCAGCACCAGCACCAGCAGCCCCCCCTACTGCCACTGCCCCCAGTTCCCCCCCCCGTTCGGGTCCCCGCGTCTCACCAGGTCGCTACGTCCCCCCAGGTGTCTGTGTCGTGTCAGGTTCCTACGTCTGTTCCAGTCGCTGCGTCGTGCTCCTGCCGGTCGCTTGCCCACCCCACCGTTCTGTGGCACCACCGGATGGGGCACCCGTCCCTTCCACGTCTGCGCGCTATGTCTAGTCAGCGGCTTGTCCTAGGCCTCCCTCGTGTCTTGCCGTCGCTGCCGCCTTCGCCTGCGCCGCCGTGTCGTCCCTGCGTCGAGGGTAGGCTGCGCGCCACCCCTCACTCCTCCTCCCTTCGTCCGGCCACCGAGCCTTTTGAGACGCTTCACTTGGACGTCTGGGGCCCAGCCCCTCGTCTAGGCCCTGAGCGTGAGCGTTACTTTCTGGTGGTCGTTGACGACTTCTCCCGCTACACCACAGTGTTCCCTCTGGCGAAGAAGTCTGAGGTGACTTCTACGCTGATCAGGTGGTTGCTCACCACCGAGGACACTCGTGGTCGTCGTGTCAGCTGTCTCCACTCCGACCGTGGGGGTGAGTTTCGCTCCGGCATTCTCGCTGGATTCTGTCGCGAGCAGGGCATTCGTCAGTCCTGGACGCTTCCAGAGTCCCCACACTAGAATGGGGTTGCTGAGCGCCGCATAGGCCTGGTCATGGAGATCGCCCGCACCTCCCTGACTCACGCCTGTGCCCCCCATTTTCTGTGGCCCTACGCGGTCAGGTACGCCGCGCACCAGCTGAACCTCTAGCCACGTGTCTCTCGACCAGAGGTTTCACCGACCAGTCTTTGGACAGGGTCCCCTGGTGTTGCGTCGCGGTTTCGTGTCTGGGGGTGCTTGGCTCTTGTCCGCGACACCTCCGCGGACAAGCTCTCGCCTCGTGCCGTCCCCTGTGTCTTCCTTGGTTTCCCTGAGGACTCCTCTGACTTCACCTTTTACCACCCTCCCTCTCACCGGTTCTTTGACTCCCGTGACGTTCGTTTCGAGGAGTCCACTCCGTACTACGTCAGGTACCCCAGTCGAGGTCTCCCGGTTCCTCCCCCCCCCCTCTTCCTGACTGCCGTTCCCCCTCCTGCTCCCCCGGTACAGCCTCCCCCCCCTGGTCCAGCCCCGTCAGGTGTGTCCCAGGCTACCCCTCCTCCTTCGGTAGCCCCTCCGGTACAGCCTCCCTCCCCACAATCCTCCTCGCAGCGTGCCGCTAGTGCTAGCTCTCGAGAGGTTGGTACGGCGCCTGTTCCTGTACCGGTTTTTGGTTCTGGGGGTGCTGGAGTTGGAGCTGGAGTTGGAGCTGGAGTTGGCACTGGAGTTTCTGGTTTTGGGGGTGCTGGAGTTGGAGCTGGGGTTGGAGCTGGAGTTTCTGGTTCTGGAGTTGGAGCTGACCCGGTGGGTGCAGAGGACTCTTGTCGTCCGGGAGCTGGTGCTGGCCGCGCGGACACTGGGGGTGCTGCGTCTGGGGGTGAGGGTGCGCCTCCTTCGGGTTCAGGTGAGCCTGGGTCTGGAGCTGGTGTTAGTGCTGCCTCTGGGGGTGGTGCGCCTAGTTCTTCTGGGGTGGACTCTGGAGCTGCCGCTGCTTCGGACACTACTCCACCCCCCCACCCCTACCCGACTAGGCACCAGGCTCGTGTTCGCCGTGCCCGTGACGAGCAGCTGGCGTTGGAGAGAGAGGAGAGGGAGTTACAGCGGCTGGAGGAGCAGCAGCAGCAGCTGGAGCCGCAGGAGCAGCAGCAGCAGCAGCAGCAGCAGCTGGACCCGCAGGAGCAGCAGTCCCAGCAGCAGCCGCGTCCGTAGCAGCAGCAGTCGCAGCCGCAGCAGCAGCAGCCACTTCCTCCTCCTGTCTCGGGTCTTCGGATCCTTGGTCTCCCCTCCCCTTCTCCTCCCTCCTCCGCCTCTCCTCCTGTCTACGGTCCCACGTTTCCTCCTCCTGACTCCTCCCCCGCTGTTTTCCCCAGTTCTCCGCCCTTGTCCTCTTCTCCTCCGTCTCGTTCTTGGGCTACTCGTCGCTCCCCTCGTGCTCGTCCCTCGTCTCCTGTTCCCTTCACTGACCTTCGTACTGCCTTCCTTCTTTCTAGTCCACCTCGTCCGTCTCGGTCTGTGCTTCCGTCTCCTCCTGAGTCGGCCCTCACTGTGTCGCTCCCTACTCCTGTCAGTGACTACTACCGCACGTACCGTCCTGTTCTCTCTCGTGTTCTCGCCTCTCTTGTTACTCACCCTCGTGCCTCTATGTCCTCTGTGTCCGCTCTTACTGCCGCAGTTACTGACTTTGCCTCTACCCGCCGCCTTGACTACGCCACCACGCTTGTGGCTGCTCCTCCTACCAGTCCTTTGGCCGTCGGGGGTGTGTCTGCCCTTGGCTGTGACGCCCTAGAGGACAGGCAGTTTGAGCTAGAGTTCCTGGCGGCCGCTTCCCCTCATCTCTGTGCCATGCTCCTCGCCCCTGAGGGTGACCCCGATGCCCTTGACATTCCGACTCCTCGCACTTACGCTGAGGCAGTGTCAGGGCCTTGGGCCTCTCAGTGGAGAGCTGCCATGGACGCAGAGATGGCCTCCTACAGATCCACAGGCACCTACGTCGATGAGGTTCCCCCCCCTGGGGCGAACGTAGTCGACGGCATGTGGATCTACAGGGTGAAGCGGCCACCGGGATCTCCCCCGGTCTTCAAGGCGCGCTACGTGGCTAGAGGTTTCAGTCTGCGCGAGGGAGTTGACTTCTTTCAGACCTTCGCACCTACCCCAAAGATGACCACTCTTCGGGTGTTACTACACGTAGCAGCACAGAGAGACTACGAGTTACACTCTCTTGACTTCTCCACTGCTTTCCTTCAGGGCAGCCTACACGAGGAGGTCTGGTTGCGTCGTCCCTCGGCCTTCACTGGCACCTTCCCTCCTGGGACCCAGTGGAGGCTGAGGCGACCTGTTTACGGTCTTCGCCAGGCCCCTCGTGAGTGGCACGACACTCTGCGTTCTACCCTCTCTGACCTTGGGTTCCAGCCGTCTTCTGCCGACCCGTCGCTGTTCGTTCGTCGTGGCTCCACACCGTTCTTTGTTCTGGTTTACGTCGACGACCTCGTTTTCGCCACTCCGGACAGGGTTGCTTTGGCAGACGTGAAGTCCGAACTGCAGAAGAGACACACGTGCACTGATCTTGGTGAGCTGCGCCACTACCTTGGCCTGCAGATCACCAGGGACAGAGCCGCTCGCACCATTACACTCTCACAGTCACACATGGTGCAGCAGGTCCTTCAGCGGTTCGGGCTTCAGCACTCCACCGTACAGCGCACACCTCTAGCTGTTGACCACAGACTCACTGGTCCCTTTCCTGACGAGCCGTTTGAGCCTAGTGGTCCCTACGCAGAGCTTGTGGGTTGCCTCATGTACCTGATGACTTGTACTCGCCCGGACCTCGCCTTCCCTCTCAGCATCCTTGCGCGCTTTGTTGCGCCAGGGAGACACCGTCCTGTTCACTGGACGGCAGCTGTGAGGGTGGCGAAGTACCTAGCGACTACATCAGGCGTGGGGCTAGTTCTTGGAGGGCAGCAGTCTGTCGTACTCACTGGTCACTGTGACTCCTCTTACGCTAACGACGCTGAGACTCACAGGTCTACTCAGGGGTACTGTTTCAGTCTGGGTTCTGGAGCTGTTTCCTGGCGTTCCACGCGCTCCTCTTCTGTCTCGACCTCTACAGCCGAGGCTGAGATTTACGCTGGTGCCATGGCGGCACAGGAGTTGCGGTGGTTGACCTTCTTGCTCGCCGACCTTGGTGAGCGGCCGAGCTCTGCACCGACCTTGTTTACTGACAACAAGGCGTCGATCCTCCTCTGTCGTGAGCCGCGACTGGAGAGCAGAGTGAAGCACATTCACGTCAGGTACTTTCTTCTGCGAGAGTTGCAGAGGCGTGGACAGGCTCGCTTCGAGTTTGTAGAGTCCGAGGCCAACACTGCAGACATCTTCACCAAGGCGCTTCCGCCTTGTGACCACCAGAGGTGTTGTGTGCAGTTAGGCCTTGTTGACACAGGTTCTAGTCATGCGTAGACTTGAGTTTATTGCCTGCTTCGTCTGTACATTTACTATATATACTTGTGATCTCTTGGACTGGCCTTGTGGCCACTGTTGCTTGTGCTCAGAGTGTGTGGTGACGTTGTGATCCACCCTGAGCTTTGTTTTCTTTTGGACTGGTCTTGTGACCGTACTCTTTTTTTTTTTGTTTTTTGCTAGACACCCCTCACTTAGGCTATGGGGGTGTGTCAAATGTTGTAGCCTGTAGTGAGGTTTGTCTTAGGGGGTACAGAAGTTAGGGTTTGTCATATGTACCCCAACCAACATCAATGCAACACCCATTCCTCATTCTGACACCCTGGACAACATCAAAAACCACCCTGCCCTGCAAGTGTACCTGAGGAGCCGGGGTTTCCGCGATATATACGCACACGTGTAGCAGAGGGGGCTTCTTGAGGGGGGGGGGGGGGGGGGGGGGGGGGGGGGTAGTGTAAGGAAATTTCTCGATATTCCTTAGCGCGCCCTGCAACATCGCGTACAGCAGCAGCCCTTGTTCGCCCGTAACTGCTAACGGGGCTTCGCCGACTCCGCGCGCACTGTTTCACCAAACCTCGCACTGCTGGACCGGCCGTGTCAGCCTACGCTTCGGAACTAGCCCGAACCTCGCTGCCAGCGTAGCACTAGCTAGCTTGCACGCACCGCGTTACCGTTTGCATGTTTCGCGTATAAATGTTCGCTCATGCCTTTGCTCACATTTTGTACTCGTTTGACACCTTAGTGCAATTCTCGCTACTTCGATCCATTGCACCCATAACAAGTTGCATGATCACACAGCAAACAGAAAGACTACATTTATCATCTTCCTTGTCCTAGAAGTTTCCAACATTAGAATGGAACACAAGTTAGTGCAGGAAGTGCTCAATCTTTGTATGGATTGCAACCGATTTGTGGAACAAGAGGATTTATGTTTGTTGCCAGGAAATGGTACATGGCACTTGCGTCTCCAGCAGCAAGGCGCACAACAAGCAAATCATCCTGCATAACAATGGAAGGTGAAGTAGGATAGACAGAACAGTTACATTTCCGGGAGAAAGAAACGAGCACGTGACTGCGTACACGAATATGCAGCACAATAGATCAGGAAAGAGCAACACATTGTAAGCACTCTGTAACATGCACCAACATGAAGACTCACATGTCCCATATCAGACGAACAACCCCACACTGTGCTCTCCACACCACCAGATAACCCAGCAGACGGGGCAGAGGTGGCAGAAGGGGAAGGCGAGGAAGCAGAGGAGGAATAACCCCTGCTGCTCCTCCTTGGGTTGAACGCTGCAGCTGCTGCCTGCGCCACTGCTGCCTTTAGGTGGGCCCTCATTGCCTCTGTGCGTGGACTGGATTGGGGGAAGAGAGGGAGGGGGGAGGGGAAGGATGGTATGGGTGGTGAGAGATGAGACAAGTAAATGAAAGGACCGTCCGACGCACTCCATCTGCGGCAATAAGTGAAAGATAGTAACAACCCATTATATCGAGGGTGATCTAGCACTCACCCCAGGACAATAATGGTGGTGAGCACATGGATGCCCTCCAGCTGCTGTCCAGGTGGCACCACCGCATTGGCTGACAGCTTCACCTGCACCATTGCAATTGGATGCATGGAGAAGAACAAGAAGACTGTATGTATACATAGAAACACCGATGTGCCAAATATGACTGCTTTGTGAAGTTAGCTTTGAAACAGCAGATAGAAAAAATCAGGAGACAATCATGTAAAAAGGGCAGTCAATGAAAGCATGAAACGAAACTAACCTTGTCGAAGACTAGAGGGATCTCCTCTTCGTCCCGATAGACACGGTTACAACTCTCGTAACACTCCATCTCCCACACCTCCCCTCGATCTCGCCGCCCACTCGTCAGCCAGTCGACCAATATGAGGCTGCCACCTGGCGCCACGTGGATGCTCTGCAGCTGCTGGTACTGCGACTCTCGGAAGCATGTGATTGGCTCGGGAAGCACCGCCAACAAGGCGCCAAGCTGGATGGTCGCGGTGATGAGCTGGCGGGCTGGTGGAGTGCCTGAGAGTACAGTAAAAAGAAAGGAGATATGTAGCAGGAGAGAGGGAGGGAGGAAGACAGGAGATATGTAGCAGGAGGGAGGGAGGAAGACAGGAGCGAGGGGCACCAGAAGGATGGGAGCAAAAGAGAGAGAAGAAAGTAAGGATGGCAAAAGGGGAAGGAAGGGCACAGAGGAAGCAGGGAGAGGCAGGGGGACTCAAAATTCGTTTAGTCAGCTTGGCACAGCACATTACACTCACCCGGCATGGAGTGGAAGATCTTGGTAGATGCCTGCGAGGTGAACACGGCCGTGGCACCGCACTGCACCGCACAGGACAGAGTCATTTTGTCTCCCGCCACTATGCCGCCCCCATAGGTGATTATGTATGCCCACACTACATCCACCCCTGAGGCTGCGACCTGGGGTTGGGGAGAAAAGAGGCAGAGACGTTAGGGAAGGAATTTTGGAGAAAATGCAGGACATAAATTGCACCAAACACCACGCACCTTGGATGGAAGCATGATCTTGAGCGGGTAGCGACAGAAGCTCCTTGTCGCTGTGCTGCGGCCGCCCACCAGCTCCACCACCAGCACTCCAGTCCAATCCATGCCGCCCCGCTGCACACCTGCACCTGCAGTTGTAGCTGCTGTCGCCGCTGCTGTTGTGGCTGTCGCAGCCACTACTTCTGCCCCACCAACATGCGGACTTGGCTGCACACTACCATGCACAGAGCTACTTTCACGCACTGCACCTGATTGCCCCCCTGCTTGCCTCTCTGATTCTATCTCTGTTCCTCTCCCATTTCCTCTCCCGGTTCCTGGTGCCTGTCCCTTCCCCCTAGAATGTGCCTCCTCCATCTCGCCCCTCTCTTCCACACCTGATTAACCTTTTAAGACACACCCGAGGACACTTGATCACGACGTGTTCAACCAAGTCAATGCTGGTCAATCAAGAAAGGAAAAGCCTGCTGGTTAGCACTGCATGCCCTGCCTGAATGATCTCCACCATTGGCCCCACCTGACATGCTGCATCCATGCGTAGCGGCATGAGTTCATCCCTTGGTCCTCCCACATTCCCACCACCACCCCCTCCGCTCCCGTATATGTGACCCCTATCCCCTCCTCCCACGTCCACCACTATCCTCTCAGCGTCCCTCACCATCTCCCTCTGCATTCCTCCGAAATCCTCACCAAAACCCCCTCCGCCCCTATATCTTTGACCCGCATCCCCACCTCCCCCATCCCCTCCTCCCACGTCCACCACTATCCTCTCCGCGTCCCTCACCATCTCCCTCTGCATCCCCGCGGCCTGGAGCGGGCCAATCAGGTTGAGCCGCGTGGCAGCAGACAGGCAGTCCCTGAGGGCGCAGTAGACGAGGCCTCGCAGGGCGGAGGGCAGCGGGATGGAGAGGCACCCGCAGAGAGCTCCGAAGATCACCGCGTGATGGCCGTACGCACGAGGAGATGAGGTGCTTATAGACGGTTGACTTGGTTGACTGGGTTGAATTGGTTGACCCTGCTGACGTGTCCTCGTGCGATAGGTCGAGAGCAAGGGAGAGGCCTCTGGGAAGACTGTGGAGGCGACCCGAAGCAAGGCAGAGCCCTGAGAGAGGGAGACCTGGGAGGCGATGTGGTGGGGAATAGGAGCACAGCAGCACGTGTGCGAGCAGGGGAGAGGGGTTGAGGCGGCGAGTAGGGGAGCAGGGGAGAGGGGTTGAGGCGGCGAGTAGGGGAGCAGGGGAGAGGGGTTGAGGCGGCGAGTAGGGGAGCAGGGGAGAGGGGTTGAGGCGGCGAGTAGGGGAGCAGGGGAGAGGGGTTGAGGCGGCGAGTAGGGAAGCAGGGGAGAGGGGTTGAGGCGGCGAGTAGGGGAGCAGGGGAGAGGGGTTGAGGCGGCGAGTAGGGGAGCAGGGGAGAGGGGTTGAGGCGGCGAGTAGGGGAGCAGGGGAGAGGGGTTGAGGCGGCGAGTAGGGGAGCAGGGGAGAGGGGTTGAGGCGGCGAGTAGGGGAGCAGGGGAGAGGGGTTGAGGCGGCGAGTAGGGGAGCAGGGGAGAGGGGTTGAGGCGGCGAGTAGGGAAGCAGGGGAGAGGGGTTGAGGCGGCGAGTAGGGGAGCAGGGGAGAGGGGTTGAGGCGGCGAGTAGGGGAGCAGGGGAGAGGGGTTGAGGCGGCGAGTAGGGGAGCAGGGGAGAGGGGTTGAGGCGGCGAGTAGGGAAGCAGGGGAGAGGGGTTGAGGCGGCGAGTAGGGGAGCAGGGGAGAGGGGTTGAGGCGGCGAGTAGGGGAGCAGGGGAGAGGGGTTGAGGCGGCGAGTAGGGGAGCAGGGGAGAAGGGTTGAGGCGGCGAGTAGGGGAGCAGGGGAGAGGGGTTGAGGCGGCGAGTAGGGAAGCAGGGGAGAGGGGTTGAGGCGGCGAGTAGGGGAGCAGGGGAGAGGGGTTGAGGCGGCGAGTAGGGGAGCAGGGGAGAGGGGTTGAGGCGGCGAGTAGGGGAGCAGGGGAGAGGGGTTGAGGCGGCGAGTAGGGGAGCAGGGGAGAGGGGTTGAGGTGGCGAGTAGGGGAGCAGGGGAGAGGGGTTGAGGCGGCGAGTAGGGAAGCAGGGGAGAGGGGTTGAGGCGGCGAGTAGGGGAGCAGGGGAGAGGGGTTGAGGCGGCGAGTAGGGGAGCAGGGGAGAGGGGTTGAGGCGGCGAGTAGGGAAGCAGGGGAGAGGGGTTGAGGCGGCGAGTAGGGGAGCAGGGGAGAGGGGTTGAGGCGGCGAGTAGGGGAGCAGGGGAGAGCGGTTGAGGCGGCGAGTAGGGGAGCAGGGGAGAGGGTTGAGGCGGCGAGTAGGGGAGCAGGGGAGAGGGGTTGAGGCGGCGAGTAGGGAAGCAGGGGAGAGGGGTTGAGGCGGCGAGTAGGGGAGCAGGGGAGAGGGGTTGAGGCGGCGAGTAGGGGAGCAGGGGAGAGGGTTGAGGCGGCGAGTAGGGGAGCAGGGGAGAGCGGTTGAGGCGGCGAGTAGGGGAGCAGGGGAGAGGGTTGAGGCGGCGAGTAGGGGAGCAGGGGAGAGCGGTTGAGGCGGCGAGTAGGGGAGCAGGGGAGAGGGGTTGAGGCGGCGAGTAGGGGAGCAGGGGAGAGGGGTTGAGGCGGCGAGTAGGGGAGCAGGGGAGAGGGGTTGAGGCGGCGAGTAGGGGAGCAGGGGAGAGGGGTTGAGGCGGCGAGTAGGGGAGCAGGGGAGAGGGGTTGAGGCGGCGAGTAGGGGAGCAGGGGAGAGGGGTTGAGGCGGCGAGTAGGGGAGCAGGGGAGAGGGGTTGAGGCGGCGAGTAGGGGAGCAGGGGAGAGGGGTTGAGGCGGCGAGTAGGGGAGCAGGGGAGAGGGGTTGAGGCGGCGAGTAGGGGAGCAGGGGAGAGGGGTTGAGGCGGCGAGTAGGGGAGCAGGGGAGAGGGGTTGAGGGAAGTCAGTGAGTGGCGGCGCAATCAAGGCAGAGCCCTGAGAGAGCGAGACCTGGGGGGACGATGGCACGCGGTGGGGCATGAGAGTTGGAAATGGAAGGGAGGCATGGTATGCCGCCGTGTGGGCATGGTGTATGCCGTATGATACATTCGCCATCTGCCATGCCATTCACAGTATGCGCAGCACAGCACATGATGCCATAACCTGCCATGATTATCCCCCCATGCCCCAAGTCATACCACCTCCCTCCCCCCATAAGCACCCCACCCCCTACATACCTTGCGTGCCACGTCATTCGCCAGCATGGCGTTGAGACAGCTGTCAGCAGCTGCCAGGGCATCACCAAATGCGCCACGTGCCACGTGTCGCTCCACTATTGGCTGAAGAACTGGCTCGTCAAAAGAAAAATGGTTGTCTCCTAATCCTGCAGCTGTTGACCCTGCCACTGCTATGCCCGCTGGTGCAGATCCTGCTGCTGTACCTTCCTCTGGTGTGTCCCTGCTGCCAGCTCCTGCTGATGCTACTCCTGCTGCTGGTGCTGCCACGGCAGCTGCTGAAGCATTCCCACACGCCGAGGCACTCATGCTAGCACTCGTGATCCAATGCGCAGTGGCAACAAAGGGCAGCAGCAGAGCAGCGTTGGCATGCACGGCCGTGAGCACAAACACTCGCAGCGACGTTACCATATCACTCCTTCCCTCGCCCCTGTCACCCATACTGCCAACCCCCCCTGCCCCACCTGCTCCTCTCCCTGCACCACCTAATCCTCTCCCTGCCCCTCTGCCAGCGGCACCAAGGAAGCCTGCTCGAGCTGCTGCTTCCAGCCCCAGCGAGTGCGCGAAGCTACCAGCAGGCAGCAGCGAGTCCAGCAGCTGCCACACCGCCCACTCCGATGGCAGGGGCGGGGTTGCTGTTGCTGCCCCCTGCCGCCTCTCCTCCTGCTTCCCCTGCTGCCCTTGACGCTCCATGCTTCTTGTGCTCCTTGGATACCTCACCCAATAGCGAGGCTTGGGTGATGCTCCCCCTTCGCATACCGTGCTCCTGCTGGGTCTCCTGACTCCAGCTGCTCTTGACCTTTTGCTTGTTGCTCTTGACGATCTATCTCCCAATTTCACCTTCCTTGTTCTACAAAGAGGGACAAAGGAGGAGTACTCACCAACAGCAGCTACCCTCCTGCTTTCTTGCTACCCCAAGTGTTTCAGTCTCTGAAAATTACTAAATATTCCCCTGAATTCCTATCTACAGCACCCCGTCTTTATCCTCTACGTCTTCCCCCTACCAACCCCCGGCCCCACCCCCTACCCTCTTAGAACAGAAAGTAGCTCTGGGCCAGTGGCAGCTCGCCAGCTGGCTGACACGTCAGCGGCGCCCCGTCAGCAGTGACCTGGTAGGTCTCAGGGTCCACGTGGATGGCTGGGAGGGCGCCGTTGTGGATCATGTCCTCCTTGCAGAGGTTGCGGCAGTTGTATACCGAGGTCAAGGTCTTGGTGAGACCGAGATTTGCTGCTGAGCCCGTCTCGTGGCACAGCTGGTGTGGGAAGCGGGGAGGGAGAGGGGTGGGGGGAGGTATTGAGAGGGGGTCACATTGTGAATCATATCCTCCCTGCAGAGGTTGCAGCAGTTGTGCACGGGAGTGAGCATCTTGGAGAGACCCAGATTGGCTGCTGACCGAGACTCGTGGCATAGCTGGTCCGGGTGGGGAGAGGGGAGAGGGGAGAGGGGAGATGGGAGATGGAGAGGGGGAATGAGGAGGGGGATTGGGGACGGGGAGGTAGGGAGGGCTCCGTTGTGGATCATGTCCTCCTTGCGTAGGTTGCGGCAGTTGTGCACGGGAGTCAATGTTTTGGTGAGACCCAGACTGGCTGCTGACCCTGCCTCGTGGCACATCTGGTGTGGGGAAAAGTTGAGGGGAATTGGGAGGGGGGCTCATTGTGGATCATATCCTCCAGCTGTGGATCATATCCTCCAGCTGTGGATCATATCCTCCAGCTGTGGATCATATCCTCCAGCTGTGGATCATATCCTCCAGCTGTGGATCATATCCACCAGCTGTGGATCATATCCACCAGCTGTGGATCATATCCTCCAGCTGTGGATCATATCCTCCAGCTGTGGATCATATCCTCCAGCTGTGGATCACATCCACCAGCTGTGGATCACATCCACCAGCTGTGGATCATATCCTCCAGCTGTGGATCATATCCTCCAGCTGTGGATCATATCCTCCAGCTGTGGATCATATCCTCCAGCTGTGGATCATATCCTCCAGCTGTGGATCATATCCTCCAGCTGTGGATCATATCCTCCAGCTGTGGATCATATCCTCCAGCTGTGGATCATATCCTCCAGCTGTGGATCATATCCTCCAGCTGTGGATCATATCCTCCAGCTGTGGATCATATCCTCCAGCTGTGGATCATATCCACCAGCTGTGGATCATATCCACCAGCTGTGGATCATATCCTCCAGCTGTGGATCATATCCTCCAGCTGTGGATCATATCCTCCAGCTGTGGATCACATCCACCAGCTGTGGATCACATCCACCAGCTGTGGATCATATCCTCCAGCTGTGGATCATATCCTCCAGCTGTGGATCATATCCTCCAGCTGTGGATCATATCCTCCAGCTGTGGATCATATCCTCCAGCTGTGGATCATATCCTCCAGCTGTGGATCATATCCTCCAGCTGTGGATCATATCCTCCAGCTGTGGATCATATCCTCCAGCTGTGGATCATATCCTCCAGCTGTGGATCATATCCTCCAGCTGTGGATCATATCCTCCAGCTGTGGATCATATCCTCCAGCTGTGGATCATATCCTCCGGCTGTGGATCATATCCTCCAGCTGTGGATCATATCCTCCAGCTGTGGATCATATCCTCCAGCTGTGGATCATATCCTCCAGCTGTGGATCATATCCTCCAGCTGTGGATCATATCCTCCAGCTGTGGATCATATCCTCCAGCTGTGGATCATATCCACCAGCTGTGGATCATATCCTCCAGCTGTGGATCATATCCTCCTTGCAGAGGTTGCAACAGTTGTGCACGGCACGGGCGTGAGTGTCTTCATGGCGCTCAGATTGGCTGCCGACCCTGCCTCATGGCACAGCTGGTGTGGGTGGGGAGATGAGGAGGGGCAGGAGGAATGAAGAGGGGGAATGGATTGGCAGGGGGAATGTTGTGAAAGGCTCTGTTGTGAACCATATCCTCCTTGATACCTTTGCCATCTGCTACAATCACACCTCCCCCCTCAACAACAGTGCACCTGCCTACACTCACAACATTGCCGTCGGCTACAATCTCTCCTCCCTTCCCTCCCCACAACTCACCTGGCTGACGAACGCCAAGCAGCGCCCACCCACCGCCTTGCCACTTGCTGCAAACTGTGGTCGCATGATGACCTGCGGGGAGGGGAGTTGGGACGTGGGTGTTGGGGGGAAGGGTGGGATGTGGTGGAGGTGGGACGTTGGGCAGGTAGGGTAAAAAGTGGGGAGGGGAGGAGCGCATTCATGAATTGAGGTGTCTGTTCAGACGACTCATTATCTACCTTGCATCAACAATCTGCAGCTGACATTTGAAGGCACACTCACCGGTTCGGGGGTGGGGATGCTGGCATTGGCATCACCTTTTGAGGCGCCTCAAAAGGGTGGGAATGCTGGCATTGGCATCACCTTTTGAGGCGCCTCAAAAGGGCGGGGATGCTGGCATTGGCATCACCCATCTGCACCCAGGCGATCGCGCCGCCCTTCGCCACAATCTCTGGCTTTGCGGTGCGTTGTGAGTGGACTCAAAATGCACCAGCACAGAGTGCGATGATATCTGCAGCAAGTAACTCACCGGCTCTGGAGTGGGAATGCTGGCATTGGCATCACCCATCTGCGCCCAAGCAATCGCTCCCCCCTTCACCACAATCTCCGGCTTCGCACCAAAGAACGCCGGCCGCCACAGCACCAGATCCGCCATCTTCCCCACCTCCACCGACCCCACCACGTGCGAAAACCCGTGCGCGATCGCCGGGTTGATCGTATACTTTGCCACAAATCTCTTCACCCGGAAGTTATCATTCGGCGCGGTGCCAAACCCATACCCCTCAGAATCCTTATCCTCGTTGAGAGGCCCGCGCTGAACCTTCATTTTATGCGCGGTTTGCCAGGTGCGGGTGATGACCTCCCCTATGCGACCCATGGCTTGGGAATCCGATGACATCATGCTTATGGCCCCCATGTCATGCAGTATGTCCTCTGCTGCGATGGTCTCGGCTCGAATGCGGGACTCGGCGAATGCCACGTCCTCCCTGTTGTTGCTGTCCAGGTGGTGACACACCATCTGGGGAAGGAGTGGGGAGGGGTACAGGGGGGAAGGGAAGCGGGGGAATGAGGGGCAACTGAGGGGGAATGCAGGACTTGGCGAATGCCACGTCCTCCCTGTTGATGCTGTCGAGGTGGTGACAGAGCATCTGGGGGAGGGAGCATGATGTGTGTGTGTGCACCGCACCCACAACATCTGGCAGACCATTGGTGGCACAGGCGTTACAGTACGTCCTCGTTGGAATTCAAGGCACCCACCAGCATGTCGAGGTGTTCGTCGATGGTGTTGGTGGTGAAGGGGCGAGTGGGGTTGGTGGAGGAGGGCAGCATGTACCTAGGTACTACAGAAGACTCTCGTTATAGTCGCTGCAAGCACGCATACCAGCATGTCAAGGTGTTCGTCGATGGTGTTGGTGGTGAAGGGGTGGTGGAGAAGGGCAGCATACCCCTGTTGATATACTTGTTATAAAACAACCCACATCCCCGTTATGATAACAAAGTGCATACCAGCATATCGAGATGCTCGTCAATGGTGTTGGTGGTGAAGGGGCGAGTGGGGTTGGTGGAGGAGGGAAGCACGTTGCTCTCCCCACAGATGCTGATGATGTCCGGCGCATGGCCGCCCCCTGCTCCCTCACTGCAAGATACACACAGTGATAGGGATAGAAGAAGTGGAGAAGTAAGGAGGAGAATTGCTGGATTGAAGGCTAGAGGAGAGAGGCAGCACGTTGCTCTCGCCACAGATGCTGATGTTGTCCGGTGCACGGCCGCCCCCTGCTTCCTCACTGCAAAGCACAGACATAAACAGTGCGATGGGAGGGAGGAAGGAAGGTTGAGGGAAGGAAGGTAGGAGGAGGAGGAGGAGGAGGAGGAGGAGGAGGGAGTTGAGGTGCACACGTTGCTCTTCCCACAGATGCGGATGATGTTGGGTGCATACCCACCCACCCCTTGCTCCCTCACTGCGAGGTAGTGTTTTGAGACGTCTCAAAACACTACTTCAAACATGTTGGGTGCATACATACCCACCCCTTGCTCCCTCACTGCGTGGTAAAGGCAGCCCAAAGGGAGAGAAGATATGAAGGGTAGAGCGTTGAAGATAAAGGCCAAACTGTCAAACTGTCCCACTCCCCCCTCCCCCTCTCCCCCACCCCATCCCATCCCCGCTCACCTGTGGTAGGTGTGGATGATGCGGTTCTTGAAGGCAGCGATGGTCTGCTCCACGCAGGCAACCCCTCCCTCCCTCCAAACCAGCCCCGCGGCCCCCCACCCCCTTCTCTCCCCCCATCCCCCCTCACCTGTGGTAGGTGTGGATGGTGCGGTTCTTGAAGGCAGCAATGGTCTGCTCCACACACGCGGACTCGTTGAGTGTGTCCGTGTGAATCGTCACCTGCACGTCATGCTCCTCTGCCACGCCCAGGCACGTGTCAATGGCAGCGGGGGTGGTGCCCCAGTCCTCATGCAGCTTCAACCCGATGGCTCCCGCCTTAATGATGTCTATCAGACCCTCGGGGCTAGATGTGTTACCCTGGAGGGGTGGGGAAACGGTAGGGAGAGGTGTTGATATCAGATCCGGAGCTCTACTTTTTGTCACCTGCACGTCATGCTGCTCTGCCACGCCCAGGCACGAGTCAATGGCAGCAGGCGTGGTGCCCCAGTCCTCATGCAGCTTCAACCCAATTGCCCCCGCTCTGATGATGTCTAGCAGGCCCTCGGGGCTGGACGTGTTGCCCTGGAGAGAGTGGGGAGAGGGGAGCGGGGGTTGGCATAAAAACCAAGTCTCTTTACACACACACGTCATGCTGCTCTGCCACGCCCAGACACGTGTGTCAATGGCAGCAGGGGTGGTGCCCCAGTCCTCATGCAGCTTCAGCCCGATGGCTCCTGCTTTGATGATGTCCAACAGACCCTCGGGACTAAATGTGTTGCCCTGGGGTGGGGAACCTCATGGGGAACCTCATGGGGAACCTGATGGGAACCTGATGGGAAACCTGATGGGGAAACTGATGGGGAATTTGATGGGGAACCTGATGGTGTGGGGAACCTGATGGGGAACCTGATGGTGTGGGGAACCTGATGGGGAACCTGATGGGGGAAACCTGATGGGGGGAAGCTGATGGGGGGAACCTGATGGGGGGAACCTGATGGGGGGAACCTGATGGGGGGAAGCTGATGGGGGGAACTTGATGGGGGGAACTTGATGGGGGGAACCTGATGGGGAGAACCTGATGGGGGGAAGCTGATGGGGGGAAGCTGATGGGGGGAAGCTGATGGGGGGAAGCTGATGGGGGGAAGCTGATGGGGGAAACTTGATGGGGGGAACTTGATGGGGGGAACCTGATGGGGAGAACCTGATGGGGGGAACCTGATGGGGAACCTGATGGGGAACCTGATGGGGGGAACCTGATGGGGGGAACTTGATGGGGGGAACCTGATGGGGGGAACCTGATGGGGGGAAGCTGATGGGGGGAAGCTGATGGGGGGAACCTGATGGGGGGAACCTGATGGGGGGAACCTGATGGGGGGAACCTGATTGGGGGAACCTGATGGGGGGAACCTGATGGGGACAGACACACACACTCACTCACTCTCACTTACCTTCCCTGTGAACCCAAAGTTGAGAGGCATGTTGTCCGTAGCCTGAAGCATGAGCGTCATGGCGTCGGGGGATGGTGTACATGTGGTTGCAAGAGTGCCGTGTGCCGGGCCTGTGCCTCCTCCCACCAGTGTTGTCAGACCTGTGTGAAGGCACACCAGGTGGGGAGAGAAAGGGAAGCATGGGATGCAGCATGAATCCCATGGCGTCAGGGGATGGCGTGCATGTGGTGGCTAGCGTGCCGTGTGCCGGCCCCGTTCCTCCTCCCACTAACGTCGTCAGACCTGCATGCATGCACAGTGGGAAGAGAAGGGAAGAGAAAGATGCAGGTGATAATGCTGTGGTGGTGGTGGTACTGGTCTGGTGGAAGTGACAGCATGAGTCCCATTGCGTCGGGGGGTGGCGTGCATGTGGTGGCTAGCGTGCCGTGTGCCAACCCTGTACCGCCTCCCACTAGCGTCGTCAGACCTGCATGAAGGCACACCAGGTGGGGAGAGAAGGGGAAGTATGGGATGCAGCATGAGCGCCATGGCATCGGGTGATGGTGTGTGTGTGGTGGCCAGAGTGCCGTGTGCCGGCCCTGTACCGCCTCCCACTAGCGTCGTCAGACCTGCATGAAGGCACACCAGGTGGGGAGAGAAGGGGAAGTATGGGATGCAGCATGAGCGCCATGGCATCGGGTGATGGTGTGTGTGTGGTGGCCAGAGTGCCGTGTGCCGGCCCTGTACCGCCTCCCACTAGCGTCGTCAGACCTGCATGAAGGCACACCAGGTGGGGAGAGAAGGGGAAGTATGGGATGCAGCATGAGCGCCATGTCATCGGGTGATGGTGTGTGTGTGGTGGCCAGAGTGCCGTGTGCTGGCCCTGTACCGCCTCCCACTAGCGTCGTCAGACCTGTATGCAAAGAATTTGGAAACAGAGGCACAGTTGGGGCGAGAAAGGCGTAGTTGATGGTGGCTGTAGCCTGCCGCATCAACCACCACCCACCACTCACCACTGCAGATGGCCTCGTCCGCCAGTTGAGGGCAGATGAAGTGCACGTGCGTGTCGATGCCTCCTGCTGTGAGAATCAGCCCCTCGCCTGCTATCACCTCGGTCGTCACCTGCATGGGGCACGAGGGATGGCATGGGGACAGGCACGAGTGAGACAGAGAAAGTCGATGGGGGCTTTTTTTGTGTTGACAACATGCCAACTCTCCAACCAGCCCTCACCTCACCCCAACATCTTTTTCCCTTTTGATACTCACCCCCACCACCATGTTCTCATCCACCCCATCCATCACATCTAGGTTGCCACCCTTGCCGATGCCCGCAAAGCGTGTGCCCTTGATGCCCACGATGGCCTTGACATGTGGCTGGTGTGCCAGAACGCCAGAATACTCACCCCCACCACCATGTTCTCATCCACGCCATTCATGACGTCCGGATCGCCACCCTTGCTGATTCCCACAATACCCATAATCCCCTTAATCCGCATGACATGCTTATACACCACTAATACTCACCCCCACCACCATATTCTCGTCCACCCCATTCATGACGTCCGGGTTGCCGCCCTTGCCGATGCCCACAATGCGCGTGCCCTTGATGCCCACGTCCGCCTTCACTATGCCCCAGTGATCTACTATAAGCGCATTCGTTATAATCACGTCCAGGGCGTCCTCTGCCTTCACTCCCGTCGCCTGGAAGCAAGGAGAAAACGTGGAAGGGAGGGGAGGGATAAAGAGAGAAGGGACCTTGAAAGGAGAGGCACGAGAGGGAAGAGCATAGCCCTCACTGATGAATAGAGCAAGGAGGGAAAGGACATGGGAAGTACAGAGCTCAGGCACTCATGCCCCCCCTGCCCCCTACTTCTCACACACCTCAAACCGCTCCTCCCCCTCCGGCCCCTCCTGCCCCACTCCTCATCAGCCCCAGCACCAGTCCCCCCATACTCCGTTCCTACCCTGCCCCAGTCCCCCCCTACCCCAGAGCCCTTCTTCTCCAGGTTTCACCTGCCTCAGGTCTCACCCGCCCCAGGTCTCACCCACCCCAGGTCTCACTCACTGCCCCCACTGCCCCCCCAGTGCCCAGGTTTCACCTGCCCCATGCCTTCTCTTAGCACCTTCCCCCCTCCAAACTTGCACTCATCGCCCAGCACAGTGAAGTCCCCCTCCACCTCCACCACCAGTGCTGTGTCTCCCACCCGCACTCTGTCCCCCACCCTCACGCTGTCCCCTACCATGGGACCAAACACACCCACAACCCGCTCTCTTGCTCGTCTCAAGCCCTGCTAGAAACCCACGCACACCCCCCCTCCTACCCTGCCCCAGGTCTCACCTGCCCCATGCCTTCTCTTAGCACCTTCCCCCCTCCGAACTTGCACTCATCGCCCAGCACAGTGAAATCCCTCTCCACCTCCACCACCAGCGCAGTATCCCCCAGCCGCACTCTGTCCCCCACTGTGGGGCCAAACACGTCAGCGTACCGCTCCCTCTCCACTCGCACTGTCAGAGCCTCGTCCGTCCCCACCACTCCCTTGCTGCATGCACGAGGCGGGGGAGAGGAGAGAGTAAAAAAACAAGACCCTTTTTCACAGGCCGCACTCTGTCTGTCCTCTTCTGTGGGGCCAAACACGTCGGCATATTGCTCCCGCTCCACTCGCACTGTCAGGGCCTCGTCCGTCCCCACAACCCCCTTGCTGCAAGGAAGAGGGAGGGAGAGAGGCGGGGGAGGAGAGGGAGTGAGGGGACTTAAGGCTCGCCTGCTATTATTGAAGTGTTTTTAAGAAGCTGTACTCTGTCCCCCACCGTGGGGCCAAACACGTCGGCATATTGCTCCCGCTCCACTCGCACTGTCAGGGCCTCGTCCGTCCCCACAACCCCCTTGCTGGGAAGACAAAAAAAGGGAGGAAGGAGGGGAGAGAGAAGGAGTGGGGAGGGTTGAGACTCCCCTCTTGCTATTGCTGAGGCGCCTTGAAAATAAGTCTCAACCTTTCCCACCCCCGTGGGGCTAAACACGTCCAACTTCCATGGCATTCCGAACACCCCAGTCAAAACCACTTCTCAACCGGCCCCACTGACTGACTCTGACTCACAGTGCGCTGGGCTCTGGCACATGTCCGGATCCCATGGCCACGGCTTTAGCAGCCATGCCATAAGACTCACTGCCGCCTGCACCAGCATCAGCACCACCCCTCATGGACTCACAGTGCGCTGGGTTCAGGCACATGTCCGAATCCCATGGCCACAGCCTTAGCAGCCACCTCGGCCGCCCTGCTCTCGTCCACTGGCCCGCTCGCTATCCCGTTGCCCCCTCGAATCACCCTCTTGCCCCCCATCGCCACCAGCACCACCTGCTTTGTCTCGCCAGGCTGCAGATAGAAGGAGTTGAAAGGGATGGAAAGAGATAACGGAAAGGAGAGTAAGGGAAGGATCCTCCAAACCACATGGCAGTATAGCAGCGTTGCCCCCTCAAATCACCCTCTTGGCCCCCATCGCCACCAGCACCGCCTGCTTTGTCTCGCCAGGCTGTCATCGGGAGGGAAGGAAAGGGAGAGAGTGAGGTCGCCGGGAAGGGCCTGTTCACAACAGCACCAGAAGGAAAGAGAGTAAATGCTAGGGCGAGAGAAAGAAATCACAGGTGGTCGTTCAATTCGCAGCATGGTAACACAGTTGTGGAGTAACGCGGTAATGGGGTCGCATCTGGGACAAAGTGACTCACCTCGAAGCGCACAGCGGTGCCAGGGAGGATGTTGAGGTGGTAACCGTACGCCAGCTGGCGATCAAAGAAGAGCAGCGGATTGGTCTCCACGAAGTGATAGTGGCTGCCCACCTGTGGGGGGGTGGGTTGATGAGAGGGGAATTGAGTTTTTAGAATGGATGGTTAGGCAATTGCAGGTATTTTTTCAAACGAGCAGCGGATTGGTCTCCACGAAGTGGCAGTGGCTGCCCACCTGGGGGTATGAGGGTTGAGGGTTAAGGGTTGAAGGTTTGGGGTTGCGGGTTTCGGGGTTGAGAGTTTGGGGTTGAGGGTTAAGGATTGAAAGGTGGAACTCACGGGTAATGAAGATCAGATCGAGGAGAGACGGCATGATACGATTTGATGCGATACATCATGTTTTGGTATAATACGATACAATACGATATCATACGATATGATACGATACGATGCACATGCACCACCAAGTCCCTCACCTGAATGGGCCTGTCACAGCGGCTGCTGACGCTCAGCCGCACAGCAGCCCTGCCGGCATTGAGCAGCAGCGGGCCTGTCCCTGCCACCATGATCTGCCCTGGCGCAGCAGAGCCACTCAGAGCAGTGGTGGCAATAGGTGTGGCGAAGAGATCAGGCGAGGGGACTGGTGGAGAGGGGCGGGGGAGTGGGGAGATGGGATGAAGGGTCAGCAGCAGCCCTGCCAGCATTGAGAAGCAGCGGGCCCGTCTCTACCACTATGATCTGCCCTGGCATGCTGGACAGAACAGCAGAAGAGCCACTTAAGGGACTGGTGGTGTCAGGCATGACGACGAGATCAGGCGAGGGGACTGGCGGGACAGGCAGGGGCGAGGAGGGGAGAGGGGGACGGAGATGGCAGATGGGATGGGGGATTATCCCTGGGAGCATTCGATGCACAGCCAGCCTGCCAGCATTGAGAAGCAGTAGGCTTGTCTCTGCCACTATGATCTGCCCTGATGCAGCAGAGCCATTCAAGAGGTGGCAATAAGCGTGGTGAATAGGTCTTGCGCGGGTGGTGGGACAGGCAGGGGCGAGGAGGGGGGGAATATGATGCTGTGACGTCAGAATCGAGTTGACTTGCAGTCATTATGATTGATTTGATTGACTTGATCAGGCCTGCCGGGGTGTCTTGACAGTGCCCGGGAGCCACTGAGAGCAGTGGTGGTGACAGGCATGGCGATGGGGTGATGCACCGTCACCAGCTTCGTGTCATCCCCATCCCCATCCCCAACACCATCCCCATCCCCATCCCCATCCCCATCCCCATCCCCATCCCCATCCCCATCCCCATCCCCAACACCATCCCCATCCCCATCCCCATCCCCATCCCCAACACCATCCCCATCCCCATCCCCATCCCCATCCCCAACACCATCCCCATCCCCATCCCCATCCCCATCCCCAACACCATCCCCATCCCCATCCCCATCCCCATCCCCATCCCCATCCCCATCCCCATCCCCATCCCCATCCCCACTAGGCATAAGCAAGAGACGGCTCACACTCCATGGGATTCGCTCGTGGCAGAGGGCAGTAGGAGGGAGAGGGAGAAGGAGAGGGAGAGCGAGAGGAAGAGAGGGGAAGGAGAGGGTGGGAGAGATGACCTGGCAGATAAGAACTGTGCAGTGCGAGGGAGAGAGAGGACGGAGAGGGACGGAGAGGTGACCTGGCAGGAAGGAGCCGTGCAGAGCGAGGGAGAGATCACCATCCTCGCGGCTGATGGGGTGATGCACCGTCACCAGCTTGGTGCCATCCCCCCATGCCCATACCCATCCTAACCTGGGAGAAAAGAGTCGTAAAGACAACTGACCTGGCAGAAAAGAGCCGTGCAGCGCAAGGGAGAGGTCTCCGTCCTCACGGCTGATGGGGTGATGCACCGTCACCAGCTTGGTGCCATCCGCGAAGGTTCCCTCCACCTGCACCACGTCTAGCAGCACTGGCACCGCTGGCAGCACGTTGCGCCTGGTGGGGGGGTGGAAGGGGATGGTTGGGGAATGGAGGGGAGAGACAGGGGAGGGAATGGGAGAGCAGGGGAGAGAAGGGGGCTTGTGAGACGACTCAAAAGGTTCCCTCCACCTGCACCACGTGCAGCAGCACTGGCACCGCTGGCAGCACGTTGCGCCTGGTGGACGGGGGCAGGGATGGATGGGGAAGAGCAAAAGGGGAGGGAGAGGTGAAACAGGGGAGGGAAGTGGAAACAGGGAAGAAAGGGGGGCTTATGAGTCGACTCAAAAGGTTCCCTCCATCGGCACCTCGTGCAGCAGCACTGGCACCGCTGGCAGCACGTTGCGCCTGGTGGGGTGGAGGGGGAGTATAGAGGGAGGGGTGAAACAGGGGAGGAAAGGGGCTTGTGAGCTGAAGACTCAAAAGGTTCCCTCCACCTGCACCACGTGCAGTAGCGCTAGCACTGCTGGCAGCACATTGCGCCTGGTGGGAGAGAAGAGGAGGAGGGGGGGCCAGGGGGGGTTGGGCTGATAATTCGGTGAATATTCATGCATCCCCCCACGGGCAAAAATCGATGCAAAACCCTTTTCCCGCCGTATACTCCTGCGTCCCCCCACCCCTCCTCCATCTCACCCCCCCCCCCCACAACACCAGGAGGAAAACGAACCTTCCTAGAAGCTGCTTGCCGAGGTCCATGAGCTCAGCAACGCTCTTGCCATCGCGGATAAACTCCAGCACCTGCGTGGCGATTAAAGCCACCGCCTCGGGGTAGTTGAGCTTCAATCCGCGCGCCAGGCGCTTCTGCGCCAGCGCGCCTGCTGCATGCAGGCGCAGCTTGTCCCCCTCGCGCACGCTCAGCCTCATGGCTGGGGGGGGGCGGGGGAGGGGGTTGGGGGGATGAAGAGAGCAGAGTGGGAGAGGTGGTGGTGAGGGAGGTAAGGGGAGCATATGTGAACGGATGTAAGCGCGCCTAATGCATGCAAGGAAGGTGCAGAAGAGGCTCCCACCCACCTGCTACTGTTGGGACGCCTGAGCCGCCTCTTCGAGATCTGATTCCACTCAGAAGTGGGAAGCGACAAGCAGTGCTACCCTCGCTCCGCTGCCGGACCCGATTAGGCAGTTCCAACCGCCAACTGCGAGGTTCGAACTCCGGCCTCCTGTTTTTGAAAAGAAACTGCTCCCGACGGAACGGCTGCTGGTTCCAAGAACCTTCCTTGAGGCTCTGGCAGCGGCGACGGTAGGCTGCGGGAAGACCAGCTCGTTTAGCGCAGTCCTGTAAACCGCTTTTGTACTCGCTATACGCTTCTTCGATATGCCTGTACTGCGCGTAGCGAGGCGCGGGTCGGAGCGGGATAAGCGCCACTGACGCGATTGATCAGTCGCCTTAGTCTGACCAAGATTAGTTGATCGCCTACAGCGCTTTAAGTTCCGCGCGCGGAGGATCTTGCGCCTACGTGCAGGAATCGCGAGGACAGATGCGTACGTTGGCCTACTGAAGTACGAAAGATGAGAGGTGGAGGAGGTGAGAGGCGAGGAAGAGAGGATGGGGGGAGGAGCACCGGTGAAGGTGATAGGGAGGGTGACTGTAGCGACGATTGGTGACAATGGGGTGAGTCCGAGTCGCAGAGAAAGGACGCGACGAGAAGGAGTGGAGGATGTAGTTGAGGGAATGAGACTACCAGACGGAGGGGAACTCGGAATGGCGGAGCTACTATTAGATGGAAGGGAGTGACACGGAATTAGGCGCAAAAAGCCGGAGGAAATTTGACTATGTCCTGGATTCTGAGCCGTGAACTGCGGCAGTGACGTGGAATTCGAGTGACACGTGGACACTGATGGCGCTGTCCAGCTGGGCAAAGGCGGGAAATGCTGGAGGTTTTGCAGCGACGGTGGACGAGAAGGAATCGGAAAAGCGGCGAGCAGAGGCATGAACGCACGTAAGAGTCAACGCATGAGCTGCGCAGCTGATGTAACGGCGTGGATTCAGTAAGCAGAGTCAGCCACAACACGCGAATTTCAGGAGCACACCAATCGGAATCAGATGATGCGAATCCCGAAGAGCTGAAACTGAGGAGAATGCCTGGAACGCGTATGTTTGAAGGAGGCAGGAACAAGAAAGCGATGACAAGTTCAAGGGGGCCTGGTGAATGGTGGCAACTTCAACTTCAAGGTGGAATGGTATTGGCAAATTCAACTTTTAGAATCGTAATTCACCGCGTTCATTCGTACTGAACCCCACTGAACGATCAGCGGACGAAGGCACGAAGGATATTCTGGCGGAGCGGAAGCGGGCGCGGCCGCAAGTCAGCAGAACAACAAGACGTCGGCCTGCGCGACCAAAAAGGATGCGCGCGATTGCACTAGGGAAAACAGGATTGCCATTTCCACGTGGTTTTAATATCTGCCAATGGGAAAGCTCTCACGTGGTTCCCAGCCCTGATGGTCACCTTTTCCCACACAGCCTGAATCTCAATAAATCACAACTACCAATTCTAATATCAGCTCTCCCGCTTTCAAAAAAACATATGATAATACTGCCTCGAGAGTTGTGCCTTCTGCGGCTCAAGCTTCTATGTGTTATGAGTTGTCTGAAAGAAGAGTGCGCAGAATGCAATATCGCGGAAGTGATTACAACTACTGAGCAAACATCGGGGCCTAGGCATAATATAGCAAGGCTAGCTAAGCCTGAGGTCGCGAAGTCGTGCGAGGTTGGGTGTAGGTTCGGGTTTGGGAAAACCCGAAGGCGACGCGGAGGACGTTCGGGAGGCGAGGTCGTCGGACCGAGCCTGAACCCCGAAAGCTGGAAATGTACGCGTAAGCGGTGCCTCAGTAAGGAATTAGGAAATTTCCTTACACTACCCCCCCCTTCAAGAAAGGTGGTCAATATCAGGTACGTGTCGGCGAGAAAGATACTGCCGGAGTACCGAGTGCCCTTGTAGTGAGTCAGCCGGGACCCATGTGTCGTCGTCACTTGTGCGATCCACCCAACGAAGTAGAAAATCGACGTGGCGGCCGGCTGGGGTCGCACGAATGCGATGATTCAATATCTTCCAGGGCTGGAGCGTGGGATCTGCTACCGGTCGGACACTGGGCGCCTGGTGGGGTCGAGCGACGTCGGAGGACTGGGGTGCCACGTAGTGGCGAAGTAAACTGACGTGGAAAGCGTCGTAGATATGCCAGTCGTCCGGGAGGAGAAGCTTCGCAGTGACCGGTGTCAGCATTCGAATGATGCGAAAAGGTCCCACGTATCGAGGACGCAGTTTTGCGGGCTGGGGCAGTCTGAGGTTTTTTGTGTCCAGGAGAACCATCTGCCCCTCGCGGAAGGGTAAATTCCGTCGATGTTGGTCAGCGTAGCGGCTGGCGGTCGAAATCGCTTTTCGGATAAAGTCAGCTGCCTTGGCACGCGCGTCCTGGAGTTCCGAAATAAACTGCTGTGACCTGGGTACCGGGTTGTCGGGAGTGGTCGATGAGGGTACCACCGGGTCTATCCCGTAATTCAGGTAGAATGGTGATTGCTTGGTCGTTGCCGATGGGGCGTTGTTGTACGCAAATTCGAGCATGGGAAGAGAATCTTCCCACTTGGTGATGTCCCGGCAGTTCGTGCGAATCAGCCGCTCCATCGTTTGGTTTGTCCTCTCTGTCTGTCCGTCGGTTTGCGGGTGGTAGGACGACGAAAATTGCAGGCGGGTGCCGTACTGTGCCCATGTCTCCTGCCAAAATTTCGACGTGAATTTCGGATCTCGATCGCTGATGATCGCCGAAGGTAACCCGTGGAGGCGTACGACGGTTGAGATGAAGAGTCGTGCTGTTTCTTCGGCTGTGATCGTTGTACGGCAGGGCGCGAAATGCGCCATTTTCGTTAAGCGATCAACGACGACGAGCACGGAGTCGTTGCCACTTGCGCCAGCTGGAAGGCCCGTGACGAAATCCATAGTCACCTGTTGCCACGGTCGTTCGGGTGGCTCGAGGGGCTGCAGTAAGCCAGCTGGTCGTTGTCGTGATGACTTCATTGCCTGGCAGGTCGGGCAGGCGGACACATAGCGCTGCACGTCCGACGCCATGTCGGGCCAGTAGTAGTTCCGCTGCAGCAGCTTCAATGTTTTGTCGACGCCGAAATGCCCGGAGAGGTTGGAATCGTGTACTTCTTGCGTCAGCAATTCGCGTAAGGGTCGGTAGGAAGGCACCCAAACTCGGTTAGTACCGACTTTTAGGTAGTAACTTCCATGCGGTGTAGTGACCCCGCGGTGTTGACTGGTCCTGAAAAATCTGTCGATCCTGTAGCCGTGCTTGAATAATCCTGTCAATAAAGGGTTGGAATGGGCGATTAGTACTGCTGCGGTCTGCATGGATGGGCGGGTCAGGGCGTCGGCGATGTTGTTGGCGCCCTTTTTATATGTGATGGTGTAGCGGAAATTCGATTCGAGGTAGTCGATCCACCGGATTTGTCGTGGGTTGAGCTGTGGTTGGCTGCGCATGTACTGTAGTGATTTGTGGTCAGTTCGGATTGTGACATCCGCTCCCGTGAGGTAGCATCGCCATATTCGAAACGCATGCACGATGGCGAGCATTTCCTTGTCGTGAACCGTGTAGTTGCGCTCGGGCGGCTGCATTTTTCTTGACTCGTACGCGATGGGTTGCAGTCCGTTGCCGAAGTCCTGTAGTAGCACAGCGCCGACAGCGAAATCGCTGGCGTCCGTCACGACTTCGAACGGTCGAGATGGATCTGCGAATCGAAGCACCGGGGGTGAACTCAAAATTTTCTTCAGCTCGTTGAAAGCCAGCTGTTCTCTCTCCCCCCAAAGAAACTGCACGCCCTCATGCAGGAGATCGGTTAACGGCCTGGTTACCCCCGCCATATTGGGTACAAAACGGCGGACGTAGTTAACGAAGCCGAGGAAACTCTGCAACTCAGTGATGTTCGTGGGCGGCATCCACTCCGAAATCGCTTTTATTTTACGAGGGTCGATTTTAATGCCTTCCCCAGAGACGACGTGCCCTAGAAACTCCAACTCCGACCGTAAGAACTCGCACTTAGAGCCCTTCGTAATCAGCCGGTTCTGCTGCAAGCGCCGGAACACTTCGTCCAAATCCTGTAAATGCTGCTCCCGTGTCCTGCTGTACACCAGGATGTCGTCCAGGTAAACGATAACTTTTTTATCCAACATGTCACGAAACACCCCATTCATAGTGAGCTGGAACGTCGAGGGTGCGTTCGTCAGCCCGAACGGCATCACGGTGTACTCATAACTGCCGTAGCGGGTTCGGAATGCGGTCTTCGGGCAGTCGTCGGCGAACACCCGAATTTGATGGTAGCCACCTCGCAAATCGATTTTCGAGAAGAAACGAGCCCCGCGAAGTTGATCCAGCAGGTCGTCTGTTCGTGGGATCGGGTAACGCGACTTGATTGTGACCCGATTCAACGCTCGATAGTCGATGCACATGCGCAGGCCTCCGTCCTTCTTCGGTGTGAATAGTATCGGGGCGGCGTACGGCGACGTGCTCGGCCGGATAAAACCCTTAGAAAGCAGGTAATCCAGCTGTTTCTGCAATTCGTCGAGCTCCGGTTGGCTGAGCCGCCATTGGGACCGAACGGTTGGTTTCGCGCCTGGCTCCAGCTCGATCATGTGGTCTTCCGGACGCTGAGGTGGCAGCCCATCAGGTAGGTCATCCGCGAATATTTCGGGGTACCTCCGAATTATGCTCGCCACGTCGTTGGGTACAGCAGCGCAGAGCGTGTCGATGTCGGCGATTTTTTCGGAAGCCACCACCTCGTACAGCTGTACGGCGTAGCCCTGCGCTCCCCGTTTTATCGCCCTCTTCATCGTTATCGCGTTGACACGTGTTGTCGTCGGCTCCGGCTCCGCCCATTTCGGAAGTGTCACGCGCCCCTTGTTGCACAGCACCGTGATCGCTCCCGTCGTCCAGTCGATGGTCGGATTGAAACGCTGCAGCCAATCCCTTCCGAGCAGCACATCGCAACCGTCCAGCGTTGTCGCCAACATCCGCATGGAGAACCCGAAATCGTCGCCACACTTCATCCGAATTTGTCGGACCTCGTCCTTGATCGCCAGCGGTGTTCCGTCCACCAATCGCGCATCAATCTCTGGTAGACACCTGTCCAGCTTGACTCCGATTTTTTTGGCCGTCGCTAGGTTGACGAGACTGTGGCTCGCCCCACCGTCGACGAATAATTTTACCTTTTGCCCATTAACCCTCCCCACGACCAGCACAGGGTGATCCATGTGTTCATCCACTTTATTCGTCCGGTTGCGGTCGATAGCCCGTATTGGTACCACCACTCGGTGTGGATGTTGATTGCCGGGCGACGGGGTCTCGTCAGTAGGTGGCCCGACTGCTACTGACTCGTCTCTTTTCCCGACCCCTCTCCGTCGTTCCTGTTTCCCTGTTTCAGCTTCGGGCAGTCCTTCTTCCAGTGGCCCGGTTGGTTGCAGATGAAGCAGTTGTTGTTTCCCCGCCTCGGTGCATCCACCCCGTTGATTGTGGGCTGGCGCGGCGGTCCACGAAATTGAGTGCCCTCCCGGGAACTCATTCTCGCCCATTGCATCAGCGCATCCGTTGATTCGGCCACCTGGACGGCTTCGATAAATACGCGTGGCCTCGCCCGTCGCACCTCGTACTGTACTTCGTACTTGAGGCCTGCGACGTATCGGTCGAGTCGTTCCGCGTCGCTCATGTCGTCCACTTGGTCAGCCAAATTGCAGAACGTCACTGTGTAATCTTGGACCGACGCCACCTGCTTCCAGGTACGCAGCTTCATGCGAGCAGAATCCGAGGCGGATACATGCTCGAATCTGCTTCGCAGCGCGGCACCCCACTCCGTCCATGTGCGTATCGTGGCCACTCCGAAGATTGTAGTTGCCTGTTGCGTGACAGTTGTCCAGGTCCCGTCGTTCGCACGTGATATCCCTGCCAGAGCCCCCTCTGGCTGAAGAGTTCGCTTCCACCATTCCAACGCCGGTCCTCGTAATAGTGACACTGCAAAATTAATGCGGGTAGCATCGTCAGCAATTTGCGCAGCATTAAAAAACACCTCTACGCCGAACAACCGAGCTGACACAGTGACGGTTTTGTCGCTGGGATTGAACGGGGGCGGGTTCGTCGGTTTAATTTTAACAGTTGTTGAGACTGTTGCTGCAGCATGCATCGGGGGCGCCATTGAAGCCATCACCGGGATTGTCGCTGTTGCCTGTCGTGGCATCGTCTGCGACTGTTGCCTCGGCTGTGCCTGTTGTTACTGCGTCCCTTGTGCTCGTCGCGTTCGTGCTGCCCGCTCGTCTTCAGCGTCCAGCGAGTTCTGTAGCTCGCTGAGGACCTCGTCGTTAGGCACGAAACTGCTCCCTGCTTCATCCACGACGGGCGACTCCTGACGCGCTTCACCTCGCGTCTGGCGTAGCTCGGCGTTTTCCTCCCTCAGGCGCTCCAACTCGCCAGACATAGTCTGCATGTTGGCCTGCAGCGCCCGAAACTGTTGCATGAGCTCGTTTTACTCCGCCTGGTCCATGTGTCGCAGGCTTCGTCTAACGGGCAGGGGGTTAACAACGATTTTTCTGGTTTTGATGAAGGCGCAAACGCTATTAGTCGGAGCGAGATAATCGTATCTATCTCTCAGCCGACCGCTTTGCAGCCCACCAAACCTATCGCTCCCCCGTACTAAACTACCCCGGAAAGTGGAGGGTAACCTAGGAAAGTAGCTCTGATACCAGGTGTTATGAGTTGTCTGAAAGAAGAGTGCGCAGAATGCAATATCGCGGAAGTGATTACAACTACTGAGCAAACATCGGGGCCTAGGCATAATATAGCAAGGCTAGCTAAGCCTGAGGTCGCGAAGTCGTGCGAGGTTGGGTGTAGGTTTGGGTTTGGGAAAACCCGAAGGCGACGCGGAGGACGTTCGGGAGGCGAGGTCGTCGGACCGAGCCTGAACTCCGAAAGCTGGAAATGTACGCGTAAGCGGTGCCTCAGTAAGGAATTAGGAAATTTCCTTACACTATGGAGGCATTGTTCTGCAAAAATAAATGAAAATAAAAACTTTAAACAGTATTCATAAGAATGATTTTTCTGTAGCCATGCCTGGTAAGAAAGGGAGATATCATTGCTTATTTTGTCCTTGTCAACATTCAACTTCTGAATTGTGTTTGTTTTTTGTTTTGTTTCCGTAGGGATTACATACATTAGATCAACAATTACATGACGTATTCTAGCGAACCCGTCTCCAGTAGATACAGTTGCGCTTCGTAGCTTCCAACAACAATCTAGGGTGGAAAAAAAAAGGGAGAAGGAAAATGAAACTGCCAAAAAGAAACCAAATGCAACACACATAAAACCCCAACTCAAGATACCCAATCAAAACGCCCAGTCAAGACACCCCATCAAGACATCCCATCTCACACCCCATCCCCCCCACCCCCTTCAATCACATCGACGTATCGACCATGTACGGGGCCTCCACCCAGAGAGCCCCGCCTTCCACATCGACATCGTCCCTCTCCCGATCCACCAAATCTACGTTAATCCCCCCTATGGAAGACGCCGCTCGAAGCAGGATGACACGGGCTTGCGCCCGTTGTAACGCCACCCCGATGAGCGCCTTCAGTGACCCTAAAAGATAAGCCGAAAACACAGAGTCGTCCTCTCGACAAGCCCCCCACGACACAGCTAGTCCCACGTGCGCATCCCCCTGCTGACGAAGCCACCGCTGAAAACGACCGCCGAGACACCCCCACGTCTCAACTATCAAAGGGGTGAACTGCACGCCCCGGTTGCGTGCAAGCAGAGGCGCGTAATCACTCGTTTTGCGGCGCTCCCACTCCCTTGCCGCCACACCTATTTGACGCCCGCACTGTCCCAGCAGTGATGGAGACAGCGATAGCGGGTCCGCGACGCTGATCTCTAGGGCGTGAGCCTCTCCAGCCATTGGACGTCGCACCGCCACATCAACCCGCTTCCCTTGCAGCACCACACTATCCTCCATTATCACCACCCCCCCGACGCCTTAGAAATTTTCGCCACCGCAAACTTCACCTCATCATGCACCCGAGAAGGACCATGCTGATGCCTGCATCTCAAGGCATGGTGCGGATCTGCTGGGTCAACAAACGCTGTGCCACAAACACACCTCCCCGCCACCTGCAGCTGCTGGATTGGGAGGCCGAGCCGTATAGCAGTAGCAATGCCCCACTCAGCCGCAGTGAATGTGAGATCTGGGTGAGACGGAACCGCCGAAACCCATGCACCTACCCCCGGGCCCTGAAGGGATGTGAAACGGGCCAAGGTGGCATCGTCACGAGCCAAGCGGCACAGTGCCTTGAGCTCCTCTACAGCTAACTGCCGCTGCCGCGCCTGGAAAAGCCGAACAGGAGGGGCCGCTACACACAGAGGTAAGCCCAGTATCTCGTGGCGGATAGTCGCTGGCAGCTGCTCAAGAGCCTTGACAAACCACGGGTCAAGAAACTCTGCCCTTGTCGAAGTGGTGAGGTACCCTGCAAACATCGCCTCCTCACCCGCCACCCCTAACTGTGCAATGTCACGCGCGGCCTGCGCCCACCCACAAACATAGGACAGTGGGCTCAAAGAGGCCGCTGCCCGGATCCCAAACCCTCCGAGACGCACAGGGAGATGCAGCTGTATGCGTGCGCGCCTAGACCGGTCGGGGTCCTGCTCCCAAGTGCCAGGTGGAAAAAGCTGCTCAAAGCAATCCTCTAAACAGCTGCCCCAATCCCTAAAAGCCTCAACTACCTCCGGATGCGGCGGCATAGTCCGGGCGAGATACATCGGCCGCGTTGAAACTGCAATGGCGAGGAGGTGTGAAGCCATCTGGGGGTGGTCGAGCAAGGGGAGCCATGGCAGTGGCGCCTGCAACTGTCGAAGCCGCTCCCGTAGCCGGACCACCTCCCAAACCTCCTCTCCAACAGGCACGCCCACCACAGTAAGACCCTCATCCACCCGCTGCATCCCCAATGGCAGTGCCCGCTCCACCTCCTTGCCCTCGTGCTCCCAAAACCGGCACTTGTGCGCCTGCACCTCTAGCCCCACCCACTCTAACCGCTCTTGAAGCACCCCAAAAGCCTCCAGAATCCTAGCCGCTGGCCCCAAAATATAGGTATCGTCTGTATAGCTGAGGAAAAGCAGGTCCTTGAACTCCTTAGTAACCGGCTCCATCACCTGCTGCTGAGTGAACGCGAAAAGAAAAGGGCCGAGCGGGTCCCCCTGCCTCGATCCCCGTGCTGACTCGAGGCTCTGTATGAAAGGGCCTGCTCTGAGGTACAGGTCGCTAGGTGTCCCATAAAAGACACGCAAGAATGGGATCATCTCTGAGAAAGGCGACTCCCGCAGCCCATCGAACATCACATGACGGTGAAGCGAATTGAAGGCGTTTGCGACATCTATCTGTAGCGCACACCAGTCGGGGTGAGTGGCCAGCGCTGACCGGAAAGAATGAGTGAGAATCTCCGCCCCGACCCTGGTGCCCACTCCCAGCTGGTTGTACGGTAGGAAGTAGGAAACCATTGCAGGGCGGAGCGAGATGCAGAGAGCTCGAGCAAGGATACGAGGAAGCACCTCCCCGATCGCCACCGGCCGGACGTCGCCGTTAGGCTTGGAAAGCCCGACTAGGTTGGGTGCGGCGAGCCACGGCCGAGCCCGCTCGGGGACCTGTCCTGCCACCCATTGGTTGAACACTTCCAACAAGTGGGAAAGGCAGGAAGGTTCAGTGAGGAAGGTGTCGCGCAGATGCTCTGTGACCCACCCCGATGGCCCTGCTGCTGAAGCTCGAGAGGCTGTATGGATAGCTCTGGCCAGGATGTCGGTCGTAAGTGAAGGCCGCTGAGCAGTATCGATGGTGAAATCGCGGACCCACTGTGGTACCTCGCCAGCGCTAGCCTGGTGCTTCTTTCGCAGCGACTGCATCATGACCTCAGACGGTCAAGCCAACTCCCCTGCTGTAAGGCAGGCCAATCCACGGCTCCACTCCCCCACTTTGCACCGAGATCGGCACCGTGACAGGCGGATGGCATCCGGGTCCTGGTCAGAGCAAGTGTAGGAAAGTGGGCGAACTGCTGGCCGCGCCGCCACCATGGCAGAGTCGAACAGCTCCCGCCACCTCCCCTCCCAGAACGCACCCAACCGCTCTGTGATCAGCGCCTTCTGACCTATGCCTGGCTTGGGAGGCATGGCTAGGATGAGGCGCGGAAACGCCAAGAGTAGGAGGGTAGCGGCTTCACCTCCCGGCTGGCTCTTCAAGCGCTTAAGGATGCAACAGAGCGCGTCTAAAACCCCCGACCTGGCCCGCTGTGGGATTCGGCGCACTGTCCTCCCTCCAACCGCTTCCACGCTGAAAAATGTTTCCCATTCTCATGACGTAACCCCAGCCCACGCCTCCTCCCCAAATTCCCGCGGCGTCGATCGCTCCTGCGTGTTGGTCTCCACCAGAGACGGAATCGAGCCGAGAGCGTGTGCATGCCTCTCCGCCTCAGCCTTCTGATTTGTGTTTGTTTATGGTTTGAGGTATGCTTAGGAAGTATACACTTATGAAAGTGTTTTTAATGAACTTGTTTTGAGGTTGCTCCCTGCCGTCACCGACCCACTACAAAGCCGACGTTTCGTAGCTTCCTTGTTGTAAGGTTTTTCGCCAGCTGCCGAAATGTGTCGGTCGCGAAAAGACGAAGTCGCTCGCGACGAAGCCGGGTCACCGCCTCAGTCTGTTTCCCCGCATCAGCGACCGCAGAGTAGCTCTGCGAGAAGAACTTGTGAAATAATGCGAGGCTTTTCAGTAGCACAACTGTTGGAGGTTGAGTGTGGTTGAAGCAAATGGTGGTGGGGTGGTTGTATGCCCCCAACCCACCGAATGTGTTGCTTCCGATTCACTTCACTGCAGGTTTCGAGAAAGTGCAGGTTGACTTCGGGAGACTTGAAGTTCGGTGCTACATGGCAGCACCTGGAACATTTGAAACCAAAGGAACATTCGAATGTGTGAAATTCGGTTGACGAATTTCACCACATCGAAATGTAACCCGCGGAACATTCACGACACTTCATGTAGCAACTCGATGTTACTTGTGCGATTCGACAAATTGAGTAGCTATAAATGTGTGCGATTTGTATGCATGTTTCATACTGAAATCGAGAATCACTTTGTATGTGATACACTCGACTACAAAATCCAGAGAGCTCCTATCATTTGTCCTAAGAGCACTAGCAAGCACATAAACGCCTATAACTCTCTCGTTACTTAGGCGAATCGCGTGTTTGACGGCTCGTTGGAAAGCCAGCAGTGTGCTCTATCATTTAGTTCAACTCCCAGTTCCTGCAAAGTAGAGGAGAGTCCTCTACAACAGTGGTATCAGAGCTGGTCGGAGGAGTCTACGCGCGCGACAAGGAGCAAGCATGCCGACTTCAAGCGAGGCCTCCCGCACTTCCTTGGATGGTGTCGTTGTAAATTCTGACGAACCCTGGGCAACCGCAACGATGTTCGACACGTCGGCGGTACCGATTTTCACGGGACAAAACTACTCCGCGTGGAAGTTTAAGTTCCAAGTGCTCATGATGGAGCGGGGACTTTGGGGTTTCTTTGATGGAACGGAGAAGAAGCCGGACGACGAGAGCGGCATCGTGGCATGGAAGAAGAAGGACCAAAAGGCGTTCGCTACGTTGATTTCGCGCATCGGCATCAATCTCGTGAGCTCGGTGCGCATGTGCATCAAGCTCGAAGCGTCGGCGCATGAAGCGTGGAAGCAGCTCGAGACCATCCACGTGAACAAGACTCTCCACGGTAGATCCTAGCCCGGAATGCGTTCTACACGGTGAAGATGCGCGCTGGAGAATCGATGCATGAGTATGCGACTCGTATGGAGGAACTCTGGGAATCGTTCATGGACCTCGGTGGAACGGTCACAGAGGAGGATTGGATTTTGACATTGCTATCGAGGAATCACGTCGTCGACAATTGTCCTCTCATTGGTTTCGAGAAAGTGCAGGTTGACTTCGGGAGACTTGAAGTTCGGTGCCACATGGCAGCACCTGGAACATTTGAAACCAAAGGAACATTCGAATGTGTGAAATTCGGTTGACGAATTTCACCACATCGAAATGTTACCCACGGAACATTCGCGACACTTCATGTAGCAACTCGATGTTACTTGTGCGATTCGACAAATTGAGTAGCTATAAATGTGTGCGCTTTGTATGCATGTTTCATACTGAAATCGATAATCACTTTGTATGTGATACACTCAACTACAAAATCCAGAGAGCTCCTATCCATTGTCCTAAGAGCACTAGCAAGCACATAAATGCATATAACTCTCTCGTTACTTAGGCGAATCGCGTGTTTGACGGCTCGTTGGAAAGCCAGCAGTGTGCTCTATCATTTAGTTCAACTCCCAGTTCCAGAAAAGTAGAGAAGAGTCCTCTACAACAACAACTACACTCCAACACCTTAGTCCCTCAACAAGAATCACCCCTCGAGTCCTCTGGAACTGGTGTGATTGACAACTCTGCTTTCGATTCCTGTGGTGTGGTTGTTCAAGGGCAAAGGCATTGTCTGGTTGGTAAGTGGCTTCTACCACCCGACAGCCAGTATTGAGGAAACCGAGGCTCCTCAAGACGCGCCTGTCATGGATCGTGCGCGCATGACCCCGCTCCTCCTCCTTGTGCTGCTTCCCTTCGCAGCAGCTGCCCCTACCGCTGCCCCCACGGGGAAGTCCCCCCCCCGCAGCCGCAAAAGCGCCCGCGCCCGCTCCGCCAGTAACTCCACCGAAGACCCTCCCCGCGTGCCCGCTCACGGGGAAGCCCGCGACTAAGCCGACAATTCCGCACTCGCGCTGCGTGGAGGCGCAGCAACTGTCGTGCTGCGCGGACTGCGCGGATCTTACGTTCCCGATACAAGTGCTCGCGATAGATGTTGCTGCTGCCTTGGAGCCGGTGACGGAGGGTCTAGCGACTGTTCCGGCAGATGTAGGTGGTACTCGTTTGGGTGCTAAGGGTGCTTGGATGGGTGCCAATAGTAATCGCATGGTTGCTAATGGTGTTTGAATGGGTGCTTATGGGGCTATCATGGGTTCTAATGGTGGTCATGTCGGTAATAATGGTGCTCGTGTCAGAATGTTATCTTATGCTCTAGCCTGTAGTGGGGTGCTCTATAGCGAGTACAACCCTTCTAGGGTTTTCTATTTGTATCCCCATTCTTGCTAGTGCAATCCTCTTTCTTTCTTCTAATTTTGTCATGCTATCAGAGCAGGTCGATCCCCTTGGATCGATCCTGTGGGTGGGTTACCACCTCCTCGCTTCCGCTGCAACTTTTTCTTCCCGCCGTGCGCCCCGAGGCGCGCGGCGGTTTTCTGCCCGCCGTGCGCCTCGAGGCGCGCGGCGGTTCTCTGCCCGCGGTGCGCCTCGAGGCGCGCGGCGGGCTTCTGCCCCGTCACTCGGTGCGTCGCCCTCGGGAGGCGCTGCGACGGGCGACGGGGACCCGCGCGTCGGCCCCGTCGCCGCCCGCAGCGGGCCCGTCGCCGCGCGCAGCGGCCCCGTCGCCGCCCGCAGCGGCCCCGTCGCCGCCCGCAGCGGCCCCGTCACCGCCCGCAGCGGCCCCGTCGCCGCCCGCAGCGACCCCGTCCCCGCCCGCATCGGCCGCCCTGTCGCCGCGCGCAGCGGCTCCGTCCCCGCCCGCATCGGCCCCGCCTGCGGCCCCCCCTTTTCCCGTCGCCTGTCGAGGCGACCCTCGGGGGCCGCTACCTGGGGGAGGGGGGCGAGCGCCGCCCCTTCTGCTGCCTGTCTTGGCGCCCTGGGGGGCCGCGCGTCGGTTCCCCCCCCCCTCCCCCGTAACCTCCCTACCCGCCATCCCGCCCTGTCTGTGTTAGGGTTTGGGGAGTGGCGAGTAGGGGGTGGCGAGTATGGGGGTGGCACTTCTTCATTCCTCCCTTTGCTCCTCCTCCTTCGTCTCCCACTGCTGCAGCTGTCGCTGAGGGGGGTGGATGTGTGGGAGACTGGGGTTTAGGGTTTAAGGGGGGTGCGTGGGAGTGGAGCTAGCGGTGTAGCAGCGTGTGTGTGCCAGGGGGAGTTGGATGGTTAGGGAAGCTGCATGGAGGTTGCCGTCGTGTCGTCAGCAGCACCTGTATTCTGGGGGCTTCGCCCGGTAGCCCAGTCGTAGCCAGCTGTGCCAGCCGCCTGTGGGTCCGTTGCTCGTCTGCCGCTACTTTAGCCGCGGGGCTAGTTACTCCTGTAGTCCGGGGGCTTCGTCCGGTAGCCGCTGTGCCAGTCTGCCTCCTGTTGCCCGTGTGTCTGCAGCTTCATCCGTCGCCTCCTATCTCCTCTCCTCTCAGTCTCTCTCCTCCTCCTCACTTGCCCGTTGTGACTACCACTAGCTTTGCTCATAATTGTGAACTTTAAACTATTGCTTCTTGAACTTGTGCTCAGAATGTGTGGTGACATTTTGATCCACCCTGAGCTTGTACTGGCTTGCTTGCTCTGCTGATTACACCCCACTTTGGCTATGGGGGTGTGTCAGAATGTTATCTTATGCTCTAGCCTGTAGTGGGGTGCTCTATAGCGAGTACAACCCTTCTAGGGTTTGCTATTTGTATCCCCATTCTTGCTAGTGCAATCCTCTTTCTTTCTTCTAATTTTGTCAGCTCGCATGGGTGATAATTCTGCTCGCAATGCTAATGCTGCTCAGATGGGTGCGAATACATCTCGCGCCATGGGTGGTACTGTAGGCGGCCTGCGTGTGATGATCGCAACGCGGCTCGTCTGTCAGAACATTATAGCTTACTTGTTTGTGTAGGCTATAGTGGGGTATCCCATAGGGGGTACAACCCAATTAGGGTTTCCTATATGTACTCACTTCGTTCATAGTCATTTCATTCTCGTTCTTTGTTTCACATGGAATCAGAGCAGGTTCCCTCCTAGGGACTGCTTCTAGGGCCCACCGTAGCGCGCCCCGAGGCGCGTTTTCTTTTTTCTAGCGACCTCTCGAGTCGCCCCTAGCGGCCAGTCGTGCCGCCCTTCCCTTCGCGGCCCCGCCGCCCTTCGATCGCGGCCCCGCCGCCCTTCCTTAGCGGCCCCGCCGCCCTACAATCACGGCCCCGCCGCCCTTCGAACGCGGCTCCGCCGCCCTTTCTTAGCGGCCCCGTCGCCCCTGCATCGCGGCCCCGCCAGCGGAGCGGAGTGGCGGAGTGGCGCTTCGCAGCGGAGCAGCACTGGGGGCGGTCAGCGCCAGCAGCAGCAGCAGCAGCAGCAGCGTTCTCGCGACGTCCCCACCCCTCAGCAGCTCCGTGAGTGGTACACGCAGCGTCAGCGCGGTGGGGGTTTTGGTCCCTGCACCTACGTTCTCCGCACTGGCGACCGCGCTGGAGAGCAGTGTGGGGGTGCCCACACCGCCCAGCGCTGCTTTGGCCGCCTGACGGACGCTTGGCGCCAGCAGTTCCCAGAGGCCGCGGAGATCCCCCGCTGGGGAGAGCTGTCTAGGGCTGGTGTAGCTATATTTGATCTTGATTTTGATGCTATCCTTGCTGCCATGTATGCTGTGACCATTAGTGATGAGGGTGACTGTTACCGGTGTTTCCCGCCCGACCCGGGCATTGGTGCTGCTGCTCTAGGTGCCAGTGAGGCTTCTGCTCTAGGTGCCAGTGCGTCTGTGCTCTCACGTACTAGTGAGGCTGCTCTCTCACGTACTAGTGCGTCTGCGCTCTCAGGTACTGCGTCGGCTTCGGCCTCCCACACCTTCACCCTTGACTCTGGAGCATCTCGCTCCTTCTTTCGGGACCGCACCACCCTCACGCCGCTCAGTCGGCCGGTTGCGGTGTCCCTGGCTGACCCCTCTGGGGGTCCTGTTCTGTCTCGCTTCTCCACAGTCCTCCCGTGTCCGGCGGCTCCCTCTGGCACCCTATCTGGTCTCTACCTCCCCTCGTTCTCTACGAACTTGGTGAGTGGTGCTGACCTACAGGATGCGGGAGTCCACCAGTTCACTCCTGCTCGTCAGCGAGTGACGCACTGCACAGAGGCTAGCACAGGTCGTCACCTGGCTACGTTTACACGTCAGCCAGGGTCGAGCCTGTACACACTGACCACTGCTTCTCCTCCAGTTCCTGAGTCTGGTAGGGTCCCCTTGTCAGGTCAGGTGTTTGCTGCAGCGTCCAGGTCTGGCCCTGAGTCTGCCCCCTGTTCGTGTCGTCGCCTGTCTCACGAGACTCTCCTCTGGCACAACCGCCTGGGTCACCCCTCTCTGCTTCGGCTCAGAGGCATGGCCTCCCGTCTTCTTGTGTCTGGTCTTCCCCGGTCTCTCCCTCCCCTTCCTCAGAGCCCTGGCCCTGCCTGTGTCCCCAGTGTTGAGGGGCGCCAGCGTGCTGCCCCTCACTCCTCCCAGTTTCCTCCGACAGAGGCTCCGTTGCAGACGCTTCACATGGACGTGTGGGGCCCTGCCCGCGTCCGTGGACTCGGTCACGAGCGCTACTTCCTGTTGGTGGTTGACGACTACTCGCGTTACACCACAGTCTTCCCCTTGCGCAGCAAAGGTGATGTCACTGAGGTGCTGATCGACTGGATCCGCGCAGCTCGTCTCCAGCTCAGGCAGAGCTTTGGCTCGGACTTTCCTGTGTTGCGTCTGCACTCGGACAGAGGCGGAGAGTTCTCCTTTGGCCTTCTGCGTGCCTACTGTCGTGCGCGAGGCATCCGCCAGACCTTCACGCTTCCGGACTCACCGCAGCAAAATGGGATTGCAGAGCGCCGCATTGGCATGGTCATGGACGTCGCTCGTACGTCTATGATGCATGCGGCTGCCCCCCATTTTCTGTGGCCGTTTGCGGTCTGGTACGCGGCGCATCAGATCAACCTCCACCCCGGGGTCTCCAGGCCGGAGACCTCCCCAGCCCTGCTATGGACGGGGAAGGTTGGCGATGCGTCGGCGTTCCGGGTCTGGGGATCTCGGGTGTTTGTCCGCGACTTGTCTGCGGACAAGCTGTCCCCTCGCGCTGCTCCCTGCGTCTTCCTTGGGTTCCCCCCCGACGCCCCTGGGTGGCAGTTCTACCACCCCACCTCTCGACGTGTTCTGTCCTCCCAGGACGTCACGTTCGATGAGTCGGTACCCTACTACCGCCTCTTCCCCTACCGCACTCCGTCCCTCCCCCCGCCCCCGCTCTTCTTGGTACCAGGTCCCCCCCCGGTAGACCCCCTTCCCCCTCAGGGTCCTGCCCCTTCAGGTGTGTCCCAGGTAGACGCGGTCGAGCCTGTCGAGGTCACTGGTGACTCTGGTGCTGCTGCGGGAGCTGAGCCTGGGGGTGCTGGGACTGGAGGTGCTACGCTTGGGGGTGCTGAGCCTGGGGGTGCGGAGTCTGGGGGTGCTGAGCCTGGGGGTTCTGAGCCTGGGGGTGCTGAGTCTGGGGGTGCTGAGCCTGGGGGTGCTGAGTCTGGGGGTGCTGAGCCTGGGGGTGCTGGGCCTGGGGGTGCTGAGCCTGGGGGTGCTGAGACTGGGGGTGCTCCGCCTTGAGGTGCTTCGTCTCGCCGAGAGCCACTCTCCCCACAGGAGCTGCGTGAGTGGTTTGCCCAGCGCTGGAGGCGTGCTGCTGGTGCTGGAGTTTCTTCGGCTGCAGAGGGTGCTGCTGCCGCGCGTCCCGGAGGTGCTAGTTCTGTGGGTACTGGAGCTGCTGGGCCTGAAGGTTCTCCTGGAGCTGGTGCTGCAGAGGGTGTTGGCGCTGAGACTACCACTGGCGGTCCACCTGGCAGTGCTCCTGGTGCTGCTGGAGGTTCTGGTGCTGCTGGAGGTGCTGCTGGAGCGGGTACTCCTGCTGGGGGTACTGGTGTTGTCCCTGCT